AAGGCAGGAGTCTACTGTTAGAATGTATGCTGAGCCACTTTATGAGACCTTGTGTGACAAAAGAATGTTATATTCCTGTATTGGTATTCATCTTGTCTAGGTAAAAAAATTACCCCTGGGTGGAATGGCATCTTTTAAAAAACACTTAGATTCTTAATTAGTTGCTGTGGCTGCAGGGTAATCACAGATGCAGTCATTAGATGATAGCATACTAATCTTCTGTTGATTCCTTCCTTGCCTATCTATGTGAACAGCCTTAATAAACCAGCCCCTAAAAAAGTTTATTTGGTAAACTTTGTTTTCAAAGAGATGTGTATGTGCATGTAAATGTAATATGTAATTATTATATACACAGTGCTATTACATACATTTTATATCTTGTTATATAAATGTGGATGCTACTATAATTACTGTAATCAGGGGAAATTTATATGTATATATATGTGTGTTTTGAAGTCTTCATTTTAATTAAGATTATCAATTATTTCTTTTGTGACTCATTCTTTTGGAATTTTATTTAAAAAGTCCTTATCAGTGATGTTGAGCATCATTTCATGTGTCTGTTGGACATCTGTATGTCTTCTTTGAAAGAATGCCTATTCATATCTTCTGCCCATTTTTAATTGGATTATTCATTTTTTGGGTGTTGAGTTTATAAGTTCTCTATATATTTTGGAATTAAGCTTTTATCATATATGTCATTTGCAAATATCTTCTCCCATTCCATCAGTTGCCTTTTAGTTTTGCTGATTGTTTCCTTCACTGTGCAGGAGCTTTTTATTTTGATGAAGTCCCAATAGTTCATTTTTCTTTTTGTTTCTTCCAGAGACATATCTAGTAAGAAGTTGCTATGGCTGATGTGAAAGAGGTTACTGCCTGTGTTCTCTTCCAGGATTTTGATGGTTTCCTGTCTCACATTTAAGTCTTTCAGCCATTTTCAACTTATTTTTGCGTATAAGAAAATGGTCCAGTTTCATTCTTTTGCATGTTGCTGTCCAGTTTTCCCAACACCATTTGATCATCAGGGAAATACAAATCAAAACTACAATGAGATATCACTTCACACCTGTCAGAATGGCTAAAATCAACAACACAAGAAACAACAGGTGTTGGTGAGGATATGGAGAAAGGGGAACTCTCTTGCACTCTTGGTGAATGCTAACTGATGCAGCCACTCTGGAAAACAGTAGGTTTTCCTTAAAAAGTTAAAAATAGAAGTACCCTACAATCCAGCAATTGCACTACTAAATATTTGCCCAAATAATACAAAAATACTAATTCAGAGGGATACATGTACACCAATACTTATAGCAGCATTATCTACAGTAGCCAAATTCTAAAAAGAGCCCAAATGTCCATTGACTGATGAATGGATAAGGAGGATGTGGTGTACACTGCCCCACACACACACATACACACAAACTGGACTATCACTCAGCCATGAAAAAGAATGAAATCTTGCCATTTGCAATGACATGGATGGAGCTATATATGTACATAAATATATAATGGTATTTTATTCACCACAAAAAAAGAATGAAATTTTGCCATTTGCAACAATCTTGCTTTTTGAAAGTGGATCCACTAGTCAAGCCTTAGATGATTACAGACATGGCCAACATCTTGACTCCAGCCCCATGGAAGACACAGATTCAGAAGTACCAAGTTAAGCTTCTCCAAAATTCCTGACCCTCAGAAAGTATTCAGTAATAAATGTTTGTTGTTTTAAGCTACTAAGTTTTGTGATAATTTATTATATAGTAATAGATAATGAATAAGCTGCTATTAGAGACTTACTCTCTTCATGTTGAAAGACATGAACACAAGTATCCAAATTCAGTTATGCAAATACATTTCAAACCTCTGCTCTTGTCCCATCTGCAAATATCCACTGTCCAAAGCATAGTCTTTTGATCAAACTCAAAATCAAAGGGCAGGGAAATACTTCTCTATAGGAGAAGTATTATAGATACTAGGTTCAAATCTTTCTTAATTTATAGGAAAGAGGAGTCTTTGCAGATATGATTAAATTAAGAGTTTTGACATAATCCTGGATTATATATTTGGGCCCTAAATGCCATCACAAGTGTCTTTATAAGAGAAAAGTAGGGGTGGGAATGCAAACCGCTGCAGCCCACTCTCAAAAATAGTATGGAGTTTTTTTCAAAAAAGTTAAATATAGAAATTTCCTATGATCTAGCAATTTCACTACTAGGTATTTACCCAAAGGTCACAAAAATACTGATTTGAAAGGATACATGCTCCCCGATGTTTATAGCAGCATTATCTACAATAGCCAAATTATGGAAAGACCCCAAATGTCCATCCACTGGTGAATGGATAAAGAGGATGTGGTGTATACATAACACACACACACACACACACACACACACACACACACACACAGGAATATTACCCAGCCATGAAAAAGAATGAAATCTTGCCATTTGCAATGATATGGATAAGGCTAGGGAGTATTATGCTAAGCTGAATAAGTCAGAGAAAGACAAATACCATATAATTTCACTTATATGTAGAATTTAATAAACAGAATAAATGAACATAGAGGGGGAAAAAAGAGGCAAACCAGGAAACAGACACTTAACTGTAGAGAACAAACAGATGGTTACCAGAAGGGAGGTGGGCAGGGGTGGGGGCTGGGTTAAATAGATGGTAGGGATTAAGCAGGACACTTGTGATGAGCACCAGGTATTGTATGTAAATGTTGAATCACAAAATTCTATGCCTGTATTAATATTACACTGTATGTTAACTAAATGGAATTTAAATAAAATCTTGGAAGGGAAAAAAAGAAAGGTGGGGGGAGATTTGACATTCACATAAAGAAGAAGGTGAAGAAGTTGCAGGCAGAGACCTGTTCCATGTGGCTACAAGCCAAAGAACACCAAAAAATGCTGGTAACCAACAGAAGAAAGAAGAGGCAAACAATGGATTCTGCCCTAGAATCAAGAACTAATACCTTCCTTTTAGACTTCTGAAGTCCAGAACTGTGACAGAATAAACTTCTCTTGTTTTTGGTAATTTGCTACAGTAGCCCTAGGAAACTAATACATTCTCTGATGGAGTAGAGGGAAGAGTTGGATATTGGCTGAAAAATAATCTCATTTATTTTGCATCCCTTCAAAAGATAACCAGAAAATAACACCTGTATCCCAATGTTTATAGCAGTAGTGTGCACAACAGCCAAACTATGGAAAGAGCCCAGATATCCATCAACAGATGAAGGAAGACAGAAGATAAAATGGAATATTACTTAGCCATAAAAAATGAAATCTTGCCATTTGCAATGATGTGGATGGGATTAGAGGGTATTAATGCTAAGCAAAATAAGTCAGAATGACAATTATCATATGATTTCACTCATATATGGAATTTAAGAAACTAAACAGAGGAACATAGAGGAAGAGAGGGAAAAATAAAACAGTTTAAAATCAGAGAGGGAGACAAACCCTGAGACTCTTAGTCATAGGAAACCAACCCAATGAGGGTTGCTGAAGGGGATGGGGTAACAGGGTGATGGGCAATAAGGAGGGCATGTGACATAATGAGCACTGGGTGTTATGTACAACAGATTGATTCACTGAACTCCACCTCTGAAAATAACACTATAAATTAATTAATTAAATTTAAATTTAAAAAAGATAAAAGACTATGCACTGAATTAAATGGAAATCCATAGGAAGATGATTTAATAGAATGTTAATTCTTCACTACATTTTCAAAGATGTGTGTATAATGGCAACATGAGCATAGTTATAGAAAATATATCCATTTGCCACTTGAGATATTTGCAGTATGACTGGGGAGGTTGGCACTAACAAATATTTTGTTTACCAAATCATACTTTTACAAAGGGAAGAAGTGATGTAAAAGTGTCCAAGGCATGACACAGCATCTTCCCCTTTTTATCAAAAGGCTCAAGAAACTAGGACTGTGCTTTCTTAATTTTTTTTTTCCCCTCCCGGGGCTTGGCAAGGACCTCGCACACTGGCTGATAATAAGTGTTGAGTGGTTAAGCAGATATTCAGAGACTAGTTCCTACAGAAAAGCAGATAGTATATACAGTTAAAGTCAGGATAAACCCAGAAACCATTTACACTTTTCGCAGGTGATCAGAGAGTAATGCATACTTTTCTGAGAGGCAGATGAAGACTAGAAGCCCATGACTAAATCCTGCCATTACTCCACTTATCCTGTTTCCTTGATGACAACATATAGGCTAAGATTGCTTGAAGTCCTCTGGAAGTTCTGATAGCATGGAATTGCTAGTTTGCTTCATAGACCTAGTCCAATCCTCTGCATAAGAGAATCCGAATCCTTAGGAAATTCTTCTTAATACCTCAACTAAATTCTTGATTCAGGTAATCCCCACATTCTACATTCCTTATAAATGAAAAATGAACATGTATTGTCTGCTTTTCTACTCCTAGATAACAGTAACACAAAAACATACATTCAATCCCATTGTTTCTTGGCAAAGTTCTATCTCAAGCATCCCAGACAAATTGGATTGTTAAAAATGCTGAATAAATTTCAACTTCACACTCTCTGTCAAGAGGTTTTCTCTTATCCTAATGTAAATTCCTTATGTTGCTGTTTTGTAGTGACAACTGCACTGGAAAACCTCTTAAATGCATCTCAACTTCATGATTTCAAAATTTATTGTACTTTGTCTACATAGTGTAACTCCTAAAATAGGTACTTCTATTTCTCCAAATGAACCAGATTCTCCGTGATTTCTGGGATTAAATTAGGGAGTCTGAGGGAAGCTCTAAATATGTGAGGGTTTGTGTACATTCTTGTTTATTCTGTAACTATAGAAAGCTATTTTTTATGCCTGGTCAGCTGAGCCATGCTAAAGTTATTTTCCTTAAATGCATATATTAATACCAAGTATTGTAACATTGTTGTTTAAAAAATTGCTACATATTAGAAAAGTCCCCAATTTAACCATACTATTATATAATTACTTTTTACAGGACATCATGATAAAAAATCGTACCAATTGCTCGAATAATGAACCTAACATTTTAAAAAAACATGCATGTGATGATAATAAGGTAATAATAATTATTTGGAATTTATATGTCATTCAAGCTTGATTTTATAGAAGTTTATATTATTTGTATGTCTGTTAGATAATTATGTTGATTATATTAATAACATATTCTTTTGTGGGTTCTAACCAAACAATTCTCACTGAATTATTAAATTGTACTATGGTCTTCTTCTATACTTTTATTTTACAAAAGGCCCTATGCCTGTTTGGTAAAAATTTTTTTTAAGCATTTCAGTTTTCACTTTGAAAACGTTAGAACTGCTGAACTCTATTTGTGACATTCATATGCAGGGAAATCCTTGTCAGAGTGATTGCTTGAACACACACAAACATAAGCCATTGGCATAATTTACTTTTAGGACTTTGAAATTTTTTCCTTTTGATATTTGCTTATCGTCAAACAACTACTACCTCTGGTTGATGGAATATTACAATTCACAGACCTTACAACAAAAGTTTGTGTCATTTCCTTCTACAGAAAGTAGTATGATATTCAGTTGTCTTTTTTAAACGCACAGTAGCTGAGTTAACCTCATGGTATCGCACTTTATATTCATAAATTCTTTTTAATTTCTTACTTTAAATATTTGAAACACTTGTTTGAGGTGAATATGAACCTTTATTTTCTAATTGCCAGCTATTCATAATTCAAAAGGCACAAAAATAAGATACATACATACAAATAAGGTACATAACCCATAACTCAAAAGGTACAAAAATAAGAGAAACCACATACCTTTCATTTTTGCTGCCTCCAGAAGCCCTCTCTTTTAGTTGTCTTGTTTAAAATGGAATAATCTTGTTATATGTTCACCCATAAGTGATAAGATCATAAATTTATAAAGAAAGGAGTTTTCAAAAAGTCAAATAACCATTAAGCCAAATTCTAGGCATTTCAGACTGTCACTTAGGAGCTAAACAGTTTTAGTCTAGTTACTTGTCAGTCATGTGATTAACTGGAACAGAATCTGGGGTGGAGGTGGGGCATTATTTGGCAATACAGTGCTGGCTTTAGGCCCCTTATGAAAGTTTATCATTTTAAATATTTTATTTGAACCACAACCCTTCTGATTTTTTTCTGTAATAGGAAGGTATGTTTTTATATCGTGCTGCTCACAAGTTGAAGCAATTTGTTAAAGTGAATAACAGTGAGGATTTCAATCTCCACTTATCAAGAGTTTCACAGGGCACATTACAATTGTTGAACTGTACTCCCAAGGTAAGTTGTTTACTTTGAACAAAAAAAAATAAACTAGTTCTGTGATAGGATACTATAATTCTTTGATAATCATATCTATTATCATAGAATTCTTAGTGCTTATTTTTGCCTAAAGTTGAAATACATTTACTCAACTCTAGAAGAGGAAAGTCTTAGCTTGGAAAGTACTTATTCTTAGCTAGGCCAAACAGTTTATGGAAGTGGAGTAAAAGTAAATGAGTGCATGCTTCATTGCTATAACTTTCAAGGAGGCTAATGTGATAATTTTGGTGGGGAATGGTAAATTTTTACCTCTAAAACTTATTAATAATTTTAATCCATATATGTACACATTTATAAGAACTCACAGCCAATAAAACAGATAATCAGATGTATTTAACAAATGTTTTTACATGTTAAAACTGGGCATATATATATGTCCAATAATTTTTTTTTGCTTCAGTAATTTTGATAAGTATAAGGTTAATTTTTCCCTACTTGTCTGCTTACCACTACACCCCTCTTCAGAAATTTTACCAGCTGCCACACAAAACCTAAAGTTTTCTTATGATTTTTCTAAAAGAAATGTTTAACATTTTCATGATAGGAAAAGGGTCATGTGTGTTTCTATATTTTAATACCAGTAGTTGCCCACAGGAAATAAAATGGTAAGGTTATCTTTGAGCCTTCTTGACAGTGATGAAGTAAAGATGATAGAAGGTGAATTACTTCATTTTATTATTATATTATCTATTTGATGGAAGCCAGTCTCCTCTTGCTGTCCTGGATTTACCAAGCTTATTTCCAATTTTGTCCCCTCCTTATGTTAGTCCTTAATATGGAATTTCTACTGTTCTCTTTTCTATAAATATGCAAGGGATTCATCAATCACTAAATTCTATACCTGGAACCAATTTTACCATACATATTAACTAACTTGGATTTAAGTAAAAACTTGAAATAAAAAAATAACAAAAAAATTAACATTTTAAATTGTTTAAAAAAAAACCCTGAAAACTAATCTGCCTTGCTTTTTCCTTTTCCCTGATATTCTATTTCTTTTTTTTATTATTTTTTTATTTTTTTATATTCTATTTCTAAATGAAATTAGTCTTCTTCCATACTAACAAGAAATAGATTCTCAAATAGATTTGATGAACTTGACAGTAATATAAAAATTACCAGTGACATTAATGAAAGGAGCAATAAAGATTAATATTCAATATTATAAATGTGACTTTGATTTTAAGAAAGGAATAAAACTACCTTCCCTGGGTGAACTCCAACCCACTAAAAATTTGTTAAGCGTGATTGTGCAATTTTCTTCCTTCATCGTCTTTTTTATTCAACTTAATTCCTTTATGTTTCCCTTTGAATTTTTTTTTCCTTTTTTATGGTTCATTTTGAAAATATTATAATGTTAATAAAAGGCATATACTCCTTAGATTGGATCCCTTTAAGCTACACTTTTTTGAGCCACTGCTTTATAATTTTTATTTTTATTTTTTTCTTTTTGGGGAGGGTGGTGGGGGAGAAAATCTTAAGCAGGCTTTTTTATGTCTAGTGCCTGAGTCCTCTGCAGGGCTCCACCTCATGACCCTGAGATCATGACCTGAGCTGAAATTAAAAGTTGGATGCTTAACCTACTGAGCCATCTGGGTGCCCCTTAAAGCCACTACTTTAAAATAAAAGAAGCTCGGGAAAAATATCAGAGCACCATTTTTTTTAATAAAGCAACAAAATTAAAACATCAATAAGTAATGGGCAAAAGAAATGAGCAAACTACTTTGATAGGAGAACGTAAACTAGAAAACAAGTATATGAAGAAAATAGCCTTCCTGGTTAGTTACTAAAGAAATATAAATTAAAATGAGGACCCATTTTACACCTAATTTACTGGTATAGAGTATACACAACATATATTATATAGCATAATAGTATATGGACATTCTGTACTTATATATTTATAAACTATTAGAAATTTTTACCCAAAATTATATAGCAGTATAGAAAATAGGAATGAAAAAGAACACTTGATTAAATCTGATTAAACATTAAAATGATGTAAATATTAACTAGAATGGGCCATGGAAAAATGAACACACCTGATTCATGACCATGATGGTTTATTTCCATTATTTCACATTTTTGTTATTATTATAGTGTTATTCCACCCAAAGATATATGGGAGCATGGAAATCCCTTATTTCTCTTTAGAGAAGCAGGGTGAGTTTGCATACTGTGGGACTCAGGAAATCTTAAGGATTCCTGAAGATTGGAAATGAATATGTGAGTAATATAAAAATATTGAGGGCTTATGGCTAAGAAAATCTAGAAACAAAGTTTAGAAAAGGGAGATAACATCTGTGTTCCCAAGATTACAGAGGTAAAAGCATGGTTCTTTGAATCAGACTTTTTAACGAATGTTCATTCAGTCCTGGTGTCCTAGGAAACGTCATGAAATAATTTTCATTTCTATTTATTTTTTTTCATTTCTATGTATTTTAAAACCGCTTAGTCATATGAACTTCACTTTGTCCCTTTATAACAATTTACTTTATTTATTTTTAGAGGAGGGGGAGGGGCAGAGAGAATCTTAAGCAGGTGCCACCCACAGTGGAAGTCAAGGCCGGCCTATGTCTCATGACCCTGAGATCATGATCTGAGCTAAGATCAAGAGTCAGTCACTTAACCGACTGAGCCACCCTGGTGTCCCTTCAATTTGTACACTTTAAAGATGTCCTGGGACCCTCAATAAAATGAATCTGAGAAATAATTCATATTTTTCTTTGAAATCTGTTTAATCTTTTAAATGTATTATTTAAAGGCTATGTGTTAGTGTTACTAACTGTATAACTAAAAGAGATCCCTGATTTGTGACTTAACTAATAATAGGACAGATGAGCTCAAATCACAGGTATTATACTTACATGACCATGGCAGATTGGTTCCGTCATCTGTGAAAGGAGACAAAATCATCAATTTCATAGTTATTAAGTAAATAAAATGAAATAATGTTTGTAAATGTAGTAAAATAAGGAACACAATACCTGACCTAGAAAACACCCAATAATTGGTTGCTATCTAAATGATTAACTACCCTACCCTTTATTAATCTCACTTCCCAGGGGCTCACTGGAATGTAATCAAGTGTATGCCGAACTACTCCCTTATATGTCTATTCCATGTGAAGTATTTATTTCTCCACTTTTTGTAGGTTGGAAAGGTAGTCCTTTTTAAGATTCTCATCAGGGACTGAAAACGAGTTTTGAGGCAGACATCTTCCATACTCTAGTGAAGACCAAATTGTTGGGGTGGACCTTAGGGCACAAACTCAATCATTATTAATTAATGATCATAATTAATGATCATTATTAATCATCTTTGACAAAATACTCTGAATATTTTCATTGTTAACTATTCCTTCCACAAAATATTTTTTTCTATATGAAACAACTCAATTGGGTATTCTACAAATATCTTTTCCATGTTTCTTTTTTTAATTTAAATTCAATTAGTCAACATATAGTACACCCTTAGTTTCAGATGTAGAGTTCAATAATTCATCAGTTGTGTACAACCTCCAGTGCTCATCACATCACGTGCTCTCTTTAATGCCCATCACCCACTTACCCCATTCTCCCTCCCCTCAACAGCATGTCCAATATTGCAGTGATGAAAATAGCAGCCACCTGATATAGCTCTTTAATCCAAAATCTTAAACCACAACAATCCTGAATTTCCTACACATCATTTACCACAAGTATAGTTAGAAATCATAGTTTAAAATATATCATACAAGATTTTCCCTTCTCATTACACCAAACCAACCTTCAGCATAACCTAACATGGTGGAAATTAAAGACTGAGCATTTTAAAATGTGTATTTTTTAAATGTAAGTTTAAAACTTTTTAAATATATTTTTCTAGGAAGACAATAAATCTTTAAAGGAACAGAGAAAACAGAAGAGCTTGTGTTCCCTAGGGATACTACTACAAAAGATAAAAACTTGTTGGAACAAAATTTTGAGGGGCTCTAAAGAACATTGAAAAATATGGAGTGGCAATATAAAGACATATGAACTTTAACTGTATCCACCAAGAATCTATCTGCTCATACAATTTTTGGGGTTAGAATACCCTAGAAGTTACAGAATGCATCCTGTTAAAAGTGGATTAGAGCAATTGAGACATTCATACCGTAGTACTAGAAGATGGATGTAAACAGTGGAAACCAAATGCTGCAATCAACAAACCTTCGTATGTTTTTGGACATATATCAATCAGTATTAATTGTGATTTTTGTAAGACCATCAATGTAAGGTATTAGTCGCAATAATACTTTTCAAACCTGTTTTAAAACTTGAGAAGAAGACATATAAAACCTGCGAAGTATATAAAAGTGGCAGGAATTAAAAATTAATATTGTTTTATTATCAAAATAATTTTATGCACCAGCACACTACAATGAGTGGAAATCGTCCTCTTCTGTGCTGAAAATGTTTCAGAGCTACCAGTTAGATGTGGGTAATGCCAATGAGAGTTAAGAGTTACATATCTTAAAGAAACAGCAGTATGAAGGAGTCCAAGATACTTAAGAGAGATATTAAGACATGTAATTAAACATGAATGCATAACACAGTGCCTTCATTAATGGTACAGCAAATGTTTTAAGATGACCGTAAAGAATGATTTCACAAAATAGAAAGTCACCCGTTCTAAGGATGCTAAACCGTAATACTGAGTTACTTTTGTCATTTTTGTGTAATAAAACTTGTCCAAATGAGTTTGCAATTTGGGAAGTATATTTTTAATAGAATAATATATGTTGACCTTTTAATTAATGGAATGTATATTTAATTTTGACATTATATCTGTATTATATAAAAATATTTTCATACAGTATTACAAACAAATTGCTTACTTTGGATAACATTTCTCCTTTGATAATAAATGACCTATATAATAAGACTGTCAGATTCATTTAATGAATTTTTAAGAGTTTTTAAGATTTTTAATACTGCATTACTCTTTGATCTCTGTCATTGAATCTTTGACTTTTAATACCATTTACTCAGAATGTACGAGACTAGGACCCTAAAACTACATAAGAACAGGAACATTACTTCTATGTTAAATTTTAATCTTTTAAAAGAAACTTTTGTATATGCCAGATCCTGCTTAGAAAGGTCAACAGCCTTCACTTACTTATAAAGGGAAATTAAAACCCTAGTCTAGACAGGTCAGAGTTCTCCACAGCCACCAGTTTGCACAACTCACATCCTTCCTGCTTTTGTACACCGTCATCAGCACCTGGTTAGGTGCTGACTGGCTTTATTTGAGCTTCAGATGATGCTCAGGTGCCATCCTCACTGTGTGGTGGTAAAACCTTCTTCCTCTCTGTTCATGTTTGTGTGTTTCCCTCTCTCACTCTCCCTAATGCCTTAGCCTTTCACCCTCACTTTACACCTAATGCCTCTGTGTAGAATGAGACAGACTGTTGCCCAGAATTCACTGACTGCTCCATTGATAGGGCTTTGAATCAAGTATGTTTTCTGTTTGGTTTTCATTATTAACTCCAGAAAAGGGAGCTGACGAACACTTTTAGGAGCAGATGATTCTTTATCCAGTTCTTTCTTCAGATGGACTTTTCTAAGCAAGCTTTGCTTCCTTCTACCATAATACATGGTCAACTGTGTGGTAGACCTCCATCCTGATGAACTGCTACTGTTGGTAAACTACCAGCTATAGAGAGAATTCTAAGTTTCTAAAGGTAAATTCTTAAAACTGTCCTTGAAAGTGTTGTCTTTGAAGGCTGTCTTAAAACATCCCTAACAAGTGTTGAAAAAAATTCTGAGATTGTAGTAAAATAAGGAACAATATTTTAAAATGCTTGCTAAAAGCTATTAAAATTTTCTTCCTTGATTTTCATTTGTTTATAGATTTAAATTTTAGAGAAAATTAACACTCAAAACAGTATTCAGCATACACTATGTGTCAAATGCTTAGGAAAAAAAAAATGCCCACACGCTTATGGTTGTGTTTGCTTTCTTTATTTCATACCCACTAGCAAGGTAAGTAGAGACAGGCAGACTAATTAATAATGAACTTGGATATTTTATTTTTATTATTTCTACTCCCCAATTAAATACTTGTTTTATCTCAACATTTTCTCTCAAATATATATGTAGATGCTTTAAATCAGCATTTTCTAAAGTTTGTCCCGAGATCCTAATCCTCTTCAGTGCTACAAATAAAAAAGAAGATGATGACAAAGAAGATGAAGAAGAGGAGGAGGAAGAGAAATCAAAAACGGAAAAAGAGGAAGGATTCTGAGTTTGGGGGTCAGATAAATTTTCTCTTGAAGATTCGTGATTTATACAAGTATATTAAAGGCTGCATAAACTCATACAGCTTTTTTCTTTTTAAGTTTAACAGTAACATATCATTTCCAGAATTTGACTAGAGAACACTACTTTTATGTAAAAACCATTACCTAAATCCACCTTGGAAAATACTGCATTATACAAAAGGACTCAGTTAAGTCTTTTAAAATAGGCTTGCAAGGAATCTGTTGAAGGAAATACTCCTTTCAGGAATAAGACAGTTCTATTAAAACTAGAAAAGTTTCTTTGCCTTAGGCCATACTTTCATTGACAGCCAGCTTACAAAGGACATTTAATGAAATCTACTGTAAAAATTTCTTCAGAAACATACATCCTCTTCTATAAGTCAGATAGTCTTTATGGTTACTCTGTCCATGCAATCTTCATGTCCTTAGTTATTATGCTCTTATTGCTTATAAAATTCTTCCAAATTTTTTCCAGATCCTGCCCAAACTTCAAGGGGCATCTCAATTCTTTTCTTTCTTTAATTGCTATGGCTTCCATGATAGTTCTAGATAATGGTAATATTTCTTCCTTTAGTTGCTTAGCACTTAATTCCCTTTATCATGCATTATATCTGATCAGATTCACCTTAATATTTCATCTTAAATACAACTATTATTTACATAATTTGTTTTCTACTTGTGTTCTCGCCTCAAAGAGTATATGATCTTTTATGTTCCCTTCAGCTCCTAATGGGAAAAGTCAGGCATATTGTGGCTAATAAGTAAAGACAAATTGAATTAAACCAGTGTATTAATAAAATTTATCTAATTATCAAAAATACATTAGAATAATATAATAATAGAATCTGTGGAAATATGAGAAATAAAATATGTAAGTACATTTATAATTACCAATTCCAACAGTTTTTAATGTCTCAATATCAAAATATATCTAGTATGCAACTAGATTCATGAATATTTTAGTATTGCAGAAAGATGCAAAATGTTACTTTGGGAGTAACTTGGGGTTTATTTTCACTTGTTTTGTTTTACAACCTCTGTTTTTTCTGCGTAAGACAAACCTTCTAAGTGGGAGAGAGGTTAAATACATCTTAAGATCTTATTCTCAAAGTGAGTCAAAAAAATTTTTTTAAGTAGGCTCCATGCACAACATGGAGCCTGAACTCACAACCCTAAGCTCAAGACCTGAGCTGAGATCAAGAGTTGGACACCCAACCAGCTGAGCCATCTAGGTGCCCCATCAAAGTGAATCTTGTTTTCTATCTATATTTTACATGATGAAAATTAAGACAAGTGATAACATTTACAGTTTAGGACTTGCTGCTCTTGATTGCTGATTTCTGAAAAGAAAAGGCCTAGTCTAAGGGTCCCATCCTTTCTGAAGACTTTCCACACTTTCCAGGTAGTGTTGATGATTCCTTCATTTGTGCCTCCGCTGCTAAGCTCAACAAATAACTCAGTAACCTACCAGGTGCCACTATGTGAGAGACAGACATGTGTTTGCCAGTTTCTGCCTTTGATGCTTATCACAAATTTTTTAAAGGATTTATTTATGAGAGAGAAAGAGAGAGGGAGAAAACAGTGGGGAGGGGCAAAGGGAGAGAGAGAAACTCTAAACAGACTCCAGGCTGAACTCAAAGCCTGTTGTGGGGCTCATGACCCTGAGATCACAATGTGAGCCAAAACAGAGAGCCTGATGCTCAACCGACCACACCACCCAGGCGCCTGATGTTTAGCACAAATTTATTTTTGAAATAATCTGAATCAAATGGGAATATTTACTTAAAAAATAATTGTATAGGGACTCTTATGGAAATGGTTCAAAGACTATCACAAATAAAAGGACCTTGGTTTGCAGAACAATCAGGTAAAGTAAAGCTTTCTAGGAGAATCAGAAAGATCTTCCAGAAAAGTATAAAATGACAGTTCTCTACCCTATCATCTCCTTGCCCATCATTCCCAGTGGAAAGGAAATCTTTAGCTGTGAAAAATCTTCAATGTGTAGACAAATACATCTTTGTACTTAAAGTGTTACTTTCATTATGGGTAAGTCAGACACCAGGGCTGGGACATACATCTTCACAGGCAGTGGGTTTAAAGACGCTCCAGGATTTGAATACATACCATTTCATGGGAAGATGCAACACAGATACAGATAATTAATCCACTCAACAAATATTTATTAAGTATCCATCTCTAATGTGCCAGTTCTGGTCTGAGGGGTCCCACAAAGTCCCTGCCTTCAGGGAACATATATCCCAAAAGAGGAGAGAGTCAACAAGTGAAGAAAACTATTACAGAAAATAAGTTCTATGGAAAAAAAAAAAAAAAACAAAAACAACAAGATAGATTGACTGATGGAGAGAAGTGGTATTTTAGGTTAGATGATCAAAGAAGACCCCTTTGAAGACATTTGAAAATATTTTATTGGTCACAAAAATCTCAACATATATTACTGGCAATATGAGTTTCATTGAAGTATTGAAGTGTTTTGTGAAAGATCAAAACAATATTTCAGCTATAGGACCTAGTATACTGTCACAGAAATAAATAATGAAAATATCAAATGGTTGACTTTGAAGTAGTGTGTTGATCTTATGTAGTGATGTACAAACTCTACTTACATATTTTGAAATGATTTCAGTATATAGAAGACTTGCAAAGATAGTACAGTGTTCCTGTATACCCTTTACCAAATTTCCTCTAAGGCTAACATCTTACATAACCATGGCACATTTATCCAAATTAAAAAATCAGCATTCTTTGTTGTGGGGGGTGGGTGTGCTGTGCATTGTCCAATGTTTGGCAGCATCCCTGGTCTCTACCCACTGTATGCCAGTACCATCACCCCCCAAGTACTGACAATCAAAAATGTCTGTAGACATTGCTAAAGCTTCTCAGGGAAAACACTGGAACCAATGTTCTAGAAGTTTTATAATTTTACATTTTACAGTTTAGGTTCATGACTCAATTTGGGTTATTTTTTAATATAAGGTGTGTATCACAGTTCACTTTTTTTTCATATAGACATCCAGTTGTTCTAGTGCCATTTGTTAAAAAGACTATATGCAGTTGGCTTTTGAACATGGGGGTTAGGAGTGTGGTCAAAATCTACACATAACTTTTGGTTCCTCAAGAACTTAACTACCAATATAGCCTACTGTTACCCAAAAGCCTTACCAATAACAGTCAATTAACACATATTTTGTATGTTATATGTATTACATCCTGTAATCTAATAAAGTGAGAGAAAAGAAAATGTTAAGAAAATTATATGGAAAATACATTTACAGTATTTATTTTAAAAATCCATGTGTAAGTGGACACATGCAATTCAAACCTGTGTTGTTCACAGATCACTGTATTTTGTCACTTGAAGTGTCTTTGTACTTCTGTAAAATTCAGTTTATCATATTTGTCTGAATATATGGATGCTATATTCTGTTCCAATGATATCTGTCTATCCTTTCTCCAAATACTAGATTGACTTGATTACCATAGCTTTTATAATATCCAGAAAATGGATAGAATAAATTTTCAGAATTTTTTTCCATAATTGTTTTGGCTATTGTAGTTCTTTTCCCTTTCCATACACATTTTAGAATCAGACTGTCACAAAAAAGCTTGCTGAAATTTTGATTCAGATTGCACTGAATCTGTAGATTAAATTGGGTAGATCTGACATCTTCACTGTATTTATTCTTTGAATTAATAAACACTGTATTATTTATTTCGATCTTTTGAGTTCTTTCATCAGTGTTTTAGTTTTCACTATATATTTTGTTAGGTTTATGTATATCTGTGTGTGCATGCCCACATGCTACTATAATTGGTAAAGTTCGAATTCCTATACTGTTCATTGATAGTACATACAAGAGACTTATTTTTTATATATTTTCCTTGTATCCTATGACCTTCTTAAAACTAGTTTTTATTGGTTCTAGTTTTTTTTATATAGATCCTTGAGATTTTCTACAGTCATGTCATCTGCAAACAGAGGTCATGTCTTCCATGAATGTAGAACTTAAAATCTCATTTTTTAAAATTCTTAATTTATTTTCAGCATAGCCCCACTAGCAGAGAACTTTTTTAAAGATTTTATTTACTTATTCATGAAAGACACAGAGAAATTGAGAGAGAGAGAGAGAGAGAGGCAGAGACATAGGCAGAGGAAGAAGTAGGCTCCACACAGGAGCCTGATGTGGGACTCAATACCCGGACTCCAGGATCACGTCCTGGGCCAAAGGCAGGCACGCTAAACCGCTGAACCACCCAGGCATCCCTAGCAGAGATTTTCTGTCAAGCTTTACTTTTTGAGGTTTATATTATGA